GTCAACCATCGCTTACATACATATTATTGACCATTTCTCTATTATGCCTTTGTGTGAACCTAAATCGAAAAAAATTGAGTTGTGATTTTTGTGTACTTTCAACTGATACACCTTTGTTGTCAATGAGATTCGCAGCGTTGTGTTGATTTCAATCCCAGGTTTCTTACGGTAACCCGTCTCCAACTGCTCCAAAGTAACAATGGCCCGTCTGTTAAATGAGGTGGGTGACAAGAAGCCTAATTGGACTTGAGTTATTTATAGTATGTAGGAATTGTGCTACTGCCTGTGGAAGAGGGTGACAGGGGATAACTGCAAGTGGGCCTAGGTAAAGGGGCATGCCTAAAAATATAAACATTCTACTAAGTGAATACGTATTAAATCGTTTTTCTGTCGTAAAAAACAACAACAAAAAACAACAACAAAAAAAAAAAAAAACAACACCAAAAAACAACAACGCTATGTAAAACATCGGTTCTAGTTTTGACTGATAGTAAACTTAGTTTTCACCATTAAACCGCATACTGACAATCACAAAGTTGCTGTCGATAAGTCTACTGAGAATAGCGGTACATGTTCATCGCATACATAATAAAGTATCCAGAGATGATTTGCGGATGTTCTCTATGTAACTGAGACCTCATCAATGGCATCGAAGATGGGGTGCTGTTTGCGGGGGGGGGTGTCTTTTTTATTGAAGGGTGCCCTCTCCAGCCAACTGTAGAGTTTATTCGTGGAAGGAGAGCGTGGAAGGAGAGCGGCACAAATCTGGGTCCACCCCAGGCGACACCGGACTTTGTACTCATACGTATAGGGAGGGGGGCGAAGGCTGTAGCGTAGTAATGTGGTGTGCCAGGGTGGGAGTTTTTTTCAATTTATATTTAGGGGCGGCATTTTCGGACAACTGCTGGGATTTTTCATGGTAGGGGTGCGGTAAAAATCTTGGCGTAGGGACTTTTTTTCTATTCTAAGGGGAGTTGGGGCGCGTAGGGTGCCTTGGTGTGGGGGGGGGGCGATTATGAGTTCGGGACGCTTTGTTCCAGATGAGCGCTATTGTCAAATATTCTAGTTGATGAATATTTGGCTCGTTGTTAGATTTATGATTCTCGCTTTTGTTTACATGTCTTGTAAATCTTGTCACACAACAGACTCGTTTGATTCATCAAAACAATACGCTTCAAGGTACAAAAGACATTTATTTGCTGATCGCATTACTAGATTAATGCGTCTCGTAGTTTAGTGAACATGAATCCACGTATATGGCAATATTCCAATCAGCAAAACATATCATGACAAAATCCACTATCTCCCAAAAGAAAGACGTCTCGCTGTAGCGAGTCCTATCTCTCGTCTAACCTCTGTGAACGTAATCCCCCGTGACATAATAATTCTTCTCCCCTCACTCTCCCGTCTGTGAACCCTTTATACCCCAAATCTCATGCCTCGTTCACTCCACTGTCATTCGCCCGTGACATGAAATTAGTTCACAATCCGCATTCATCCTCAAATCAACACACACACGCTACCTCATGATTTCATGACCTTGACA